AAGATCACTCAGAAATACTAGATTTTTTTTTTCATTTTAGATATCTTCTATGCATTAAATTGGCATGGATTGTTTTACGTTTTCCTCCTTTGAAAAGATATGGGCATCTTAGTTGAGTGCCAGCGGGCAGCAAATGTGCCCAGCACTGCCTAGGAATAAGGAACATGGACTAAGGGAAGTGATTACTCCCTTTGCTTTGCACTTGTTAGTCTGCAACTGGAATGTTATATCCAGTTTAGGTTCCCCAGTAAACAAAAATGTTGATAAGCTGGAACAAGTACAGTGGAAGGCCACTGAGATGTTGATGAAACAGCCGAAGGAACAAGCTTTGCTTAGCTTCTTCCTCCACATTCCTCTCTTCTCTAGGCTAATAAGAGTCTTCTTTTACCTATGAGGAAATGATTAACAGGATAGAACTGAGCTCTTTGTAGTGTTGCCCTGCAGGAGAACAGGAGACAAAGTGAAAAGGAAGGTTCTGACTGGTTAAGGAAAAAAAAACTTTAAGCCAACCTTCAAGTTGGGCAGGGCAGCAAATTGCTCAGATGGGCTGTGCCAACTCCGTTCTCTAAGATTTTTCAAGACCCCACTGGATAAAACCCTGATCAATATGGTCTGATCTAATGGCTCACCTTGCTTTGAGCAAAAGATTGAATGACAGACATCTGAGATACATTCCAGCCTGAAAGCCTCAGAACCTATAAAAAACAAGTGTCCACTTCAGAGAGTAATGCTTTCATCAGGCTGTTAAAAGCTACTGTTCATGGCTGGCAATTATTCTAAGTCAAGGATATTGGCATATACTTCAAGTTGTTATCAGCTGGCACGCGTTATTCTCTTAGGTAGTACCTCTCTCAGTAGTGCAGTAATATGACAAGCCTTAGGACATAAAAGCAAATCAGAAACTCATAGGAAAAAATTGGTTAAAAATTGGCTCCTAGCAATCAAGTGCAAAATGCAAATTCACATTTTGTTGGAGTGTTTTGTTACAGATGAAATAGCTTCTTTACCTCTTTGCATTTGTTTCATGTTTATTTATTTTAAAAACTGCCACATACTATTGCTGGCGTTCAGATATAAGGGCGTAGTTTCTAAATTCTTTTGTAATTCAAATTGTCAAACATCAGATAGTTTTGATTTAGAAATCAAGAAATGTATTAGCATGCCAAAATACAGTTCTAAAGGTCAAGTATCATCTACCATTGGAGCATAGCAGCAGTTCATATAACTTTAGTTCAAAATAAAATATGATCTTAGTTACAGCAGTATTCCATCCTGTAAAACATGTACAGGTAGAACAAGCCGGAGGTTGTCCCACTGCTGATTCAGTAGTTTCTTTTTTCCCCTTCCAGCTACATTAAAGAGACCTACCAAGAAAATACGGGATGATTTCTTGGTCAGTGTTCTTAGCCAACTTAAATCTGATTTTAAACCTTGACAGAACAGTTCTATATTGATTTTACTTTTCTGAATAAGGCTGCATGGATGCATAGCAACTGACATGGCTAAAATTTTCATAATCTTCCTGAAGAAGGACGTTAGAAGTCATTAACCTTTAACTGATTGTGTTTCTCTGCCCTTTTAAACTTGCAGAACTAATGTTACTTTTGCGCTTGAAATCGTATTTACAAACAATAAAGAAAGCATAGCAGAAGTTTTTAAAATAAGTGACAGAACTCTTTATGCAATTGGTTATTCCATTAGGAGGGTAAAAGCAGGGCAACCAGCAAGACAGCACTCTGGGAACATAGCAGCAGGAGAAGCAGAGTCAGGATTATGGTTCTACAAGAAAGGCATAGCTTCTATGATCCTAGGGTCTGAATCCAAGCACTGTCTGTGATAAAGAGAAAAAATTCTCCAGAAGCTAAGAAGATAGCTGATGCATGACAAGATCCTACTGTTATTTATGGCAAATGTAGGCTGTGTTCCTTCATGCTGTGATTGTTGCCACACAGCTCTGTACTGCTCTGCACTTAGGCAGGAGCTATGTTCATTCTGAACCCCCTTGTTTCTATCATATCCTATGATATTCTATCATATCATATCCTATGCTCTGCAGGGACTCAGTGCCTCTTGTATTTACACAAAGGAAGCATTTTTTTCTGAAATGACGTTGTTTCCCCAAGGAAAAAAAAAAAATCTGCCCATTCACCCAGGGCTCTGTTTAGTGTGTAACAGTAGAACAGTACTGCAATGGAAAAGTTGCTAATGATAGATTGATTCTGCTACCTCAACTATTTTTTCTTGTCCTTTCTGTGGGGTTATCTTTGTTTGATCCATAATTAGCCAGGAAACTTAGCTGATCTTTGAACTTTGGTTAATTCAAGTTTTCCTTGTATGTAAATTAAGCTTATGTTATTGACAAAAGAAAATTCATACCTAATTGTTGTGGCATTACAAATTGATGGTGAATGTCAAAGAAAACAGTCCAGTGGTTGAATTGTAATTCCACGACTAAAAAATGAACAGAAGGGGCTGAGAGTGAATTACAAAGCAATATACTCTGCTCATTTACTTGTAACCCTTATTCAGGTTTCACTATGATTCCCAGCTTTAATAAGATAAGCAAAATGTAACATAATACTGATCTTACATTATTAAAAGTATATACATGTTGTTTAGTTTATCACTTATTAAAAATATCTCCTATTCATAAGAAAAATCTCTGTAAGACAAGATGTCACTATTTTCTTGATACATTCTTTTCAAATACAACTTTTGTCTCATTTTAGTTTCAACCGGCATTCTTCCACCTCCATCAGCTACCAGTCGAAGAGGTATAAAAAATGTTTTGTGCAGCTACTATACCTTAAAAGCACTTAACAGCCCAGTCTATTGCTGCATCCAGTGAAGTATTAACATGAAAATCCTTACTTTCTTAAAACTAATAGTTTTCAGAGCCAGTATTTAATTCATTGCCTCTCACATGCCATTGGCTGCTACAGATAAATCCAGTAAGGGTGCTTTCACTGCTTTAGATATGCTGTTGCTTCTTCTTACATTACAGCATCTTCAGCACTTAGGACATCTTTTTTCATTCTTTCCTTCTTCCTTCCTTTCCATTTTTTTCTTTAATGATAACTCTATTTCCTTCAGCAGAAATTCTACCTGATAAATCTTTTAACTTCACTAAAACCTGTAATGATGTTTCATAACACTTCATTTCTCTTTGACAAGGCTCTTTATCTTCTTACTGCATTTAATATTCATCATACATTTGCAATAGATTTTAGTGATTGACTTCTAATTTTGTCATTAACTTGATACAACGAATAGAATTCTTTTCAGCATTTTCTTTTTGTCATTTTGTTTTAATTTCCCTACACGTACAAGGAATCTGGTAGCATGTTTTTATCACACTCTTAACTTCAAAAAACACTTGAATTTTTAATAACCATTTTTCTTCAAGGCAGTTCAGGTATCACTAATCTGGCTCAGAATTTCTTTGCGTTTTGTGTGTTAAGAAACATTGAAATGAATCTTGCCGTCAGTGAAACTGCTCATCTGGGAGCAGGCTTTCTTGTGTGTAAATTGTTTTCAGATTAAGTCTGTATGACACGCATAGTTTAAAAAATTTCTGTTCACATAGTAAATATTGATCACTGATCCTGTAAAGGTAAGTATTTCTTACTGCTTTTCTGTGTGGTTTACCTTGAATAATAGATTTTGAAACAATGAAAAATCTTTAGATGTTGCATATTCAGCTAAAGATGTTTTGCAAGTCCCTGAAGTATAACTCTTCCTGTCTGCGCTACAGTGGAAGCAATGATTCCCTCTCCAGTGACCCCAAGTAGAGTTTGTTCTTATGCATCATAGGTGCAGAGGTAGATGCTAGGAATGGAAAGTTGAAAGGTATACTGTGCTTTGGTGGTTGTGAAATCATGGTACAGTTCACAACAGAATCCAGCCCTAGCCCCTAGAGTGGGTGTAGAAATAACTAGCTACAGTCGTTATAGCAACAGCAATGTTTCTAGGACTAAGTAGACAAAATAAACCAGCCTGAGTCAGCAGTGCTCTGCAGGCTAGATCTTGTGTAAGTAATGTCAGAGTAGCAGAGTAGCTGGATTGCCAGGATAAGTTTATTTTGTTAAGAATTAAAAATCAAATCAAAAGTTTACATTTGTGAGAATGTAAACTACTGGAAGAAATTTGCTGGTTTTGTCATAGGTAAAAATTATAACATGCTCTCCAGATAGGATATACTTCCATTGTCAGAGAAAGAACGAGCCACAGTAGATCATGATCTTGCAAATCAGGACATCTTTTCTTATGCTTACAAACTGTCTCTTATAGACAAAGTCAACATAGAAGCAACTCCTAAAATCTCAGCACAAGTTGGTAGATACCTGTCTCATTGAGATAGTGAAACTGAAAGAGTAATACTATGTTTATGTTATTGAGGTGAGTTAAAATGATATTGAACACTGAACGTTTTTATTACTGCAGGCATCTCAGTATTTGTTACTTCCCTTCTCTGTACTTCTTTAATTCATTCCATCTTGCTTGCTTTGTTTGTCATGCTCTTTTAGGTGTCTGTGAAGCAAAGTTACTACAAACAGAATCGTCCTAAGCAACGGGCAAGTAGAAGAGGCATATACTTCAACATGTTACTATAATCAAACACAGAATAACCATCTAAGCCATAAAATGGAGAAAAAAAAAATCATTATTGATGCTTGGACCCCTGAGCAAAAGTTTTTATCTAGGAATGCTAAAATCACATAGTAGTATTTCATGTCATGTATTTTTCAGTTGCTGAATCCAAACATCAGAAAAAAATAGCATTGAATTTAGACTGAGATCATAATTTATGATATTTTTCTTTCCAAAGAACTTTCAAGCCTCTCTTAGAATGATAACGATTAGTGGTTCTCGCTGTATTCTCTCTCTAGCTCTCACAGTTCTTCTGGGGTACTTCGGAAGGAAGCATCCAAATCTCTTCCTTTTGTACTCAATAACTTCGGCTGTTTATGAAGTTGCTGATACCTTTGTTTTGTTTTTAGAAACACAAGCCAGTCATATACACCAGTGCCAGCTTCTGCAAGCTATGGTGAAAGTCCTGCTGCTTCTGCTGCTTCAAAACCAAGAGTTGTCACTACTGCTAGCATAAAGCCCTCTGTCTACCAGCCAGGTAAGGAGATTTCCAAGTACCGGAATGCACAGGCATTACTTTTAGAAAAATAATATGTTCATTTTGCTATAGGACATGTGTGTTATCAGGAAATTTATATGCACAGAACCAACTGAACTGACAATGTTGTTTCAGCTTAGGATCAAGGATGATGTTGTATTAGTGAAAATGTGGACCAAGTGGAGGAGAAAGAAGATAAGCAAGGGAGCAGTCTGTAAAAATGGTGTATAGCCTCATTTCTCAAAATCAGTGCATTTGCAAAAAGCCCAGTACACCTATTTAGGATCCTCAGGGCACTTCCTAGTTGATAGAATAGCTTAAGAAAGCACACCTTAGGATGGAAACAAAATAAATGAAGTAGGATATTTGCAAAATAGAGAAAACCACATAATGAATTTCTAAAATTCAGGCTTGTATTTGGATTAAAGAATGACTTAATGTACTTAGTAATACTAGGCTTCCATTTCCCACAGATCCAATTACTGAAGAAATATATTTGATTATTCATTTTGGTGGAAAATATACTCCTTGATGCTATTTAAATCCTGTTTGTATTAATGTGTTACAAATGGAGTCAACTTCTAAAACTAGTGATGACCAAAATGTGAACCTTCAAAATGAACAAATTAAATGAGTTAGCAATCTAATTCTAAATGCAATTCTGTTTCAAATTAAGTTTTCTGTTCTTAACAAGGTAACTAAAATGTTGATTTTTATTCTGACAGCCAAGTATGTATGAAAAGCTCAACAATTCTAACAGTCTTAAGCTCATTCTTTTCTGCAGTGCTTTATTTCTGGATCTACTGCAATGAAACTGATTGAGAAATTCTACTTAAATCAGTCTGTCTGCTTTATATCTGTCTTTGTATTTGAGATATGAAGGTGGAAAAAAAAGTCAGTTCGGAGCTTTAACAAACTGTACAGGGATCTCAGAGTCAATCAAGGTTTCACTTTCTCCTCATTTGATTTTGGTTAGGTGAGTCAGCATATACTGTGTTCTCAGTCAAATGGTATTTCCGTCTTGCAAAAGAAGGAAAGATGAGAACAGAGGATTTATTTCCATAATGCTGATTAGAGCAAGCTGTGGAAAGTGAAAGTATCTTCAAAATAAACTGATTAGTACAAAATACCATGCTCGTTTGAGGGCAGTGAAAACTCTAGTTTACACAGATCTGCAGCAGGCATAAACCAATACACATATCTGTTAGGGAAAAAGCTGGCTGTTTAATTCAGCTCAGGATAAGAGGCCCAACTTTTACTTTCTGTGATAGGCATCTTCTTTGCAATTCCTTATACTGCTGGTTTTGAGCCCCATTACTTTAAAAAGTGCAGTATGAAAAATATGTTCTGTGTCACTGTGTAGACAGCAAAATTATTTCCAATTGAAGCTTTGCCTGCCTGCATGTGGGAAATTCTTCTTTTGTAGTTAATGAAAGGATATAATGTATTCCAGAGGACATGAGAAAATTTGCAATTATACAAATGTAATACAACAGATGCAAATTGCATTGAAGTCCACAGAGAGAAAAACAGTAAGTCTCTCTGTTCTACTCAGGAGTTTAGACTGGAACAGAATAATACCATTGGAAGGTACCTACAAAGACCATCAGATCCAACCGCCTGACCATTTCAGAGATGAGCAAAAGTTAAAGATAATTACTGGTGCTCAACGCCTCTTGAAGTGTAACAAGCATAGAGCATCAACCCTATCAGTAGGAAGCCTGTTCCACTGTTCCACTACTCTCACAAGAAAGGAATTTTTCCTGATCTCCACTGTGACCCTCCTGTAGCACAGCACTGTGCTGTTCCTGCCTGTCCTGCCATCAGTTACCACAGAAGAGACCAGCACATCTTCCTGTGCTTCCCCTCCTCAGGAAGATGCAGAGAGATATTTGAGAATAAATAGAAGTTTTAAAATAAAGAATTATAAAATACCTCTCTAATTAAACCCCAGAGTGACTCAGGTGCATGAGGTTTAACAGAAAGTCATTTTATTGTAGGTTGTTGGTTTTTGTTTGGTACCTCTTTCAAGTATTCTTCATTTAGTGTTGTAGCACTTCAGTTGGAACGTGACCCCGGCCTTAAAGACAGATGCAGTTGTAAGCAAACAGAAACTTGCTGTTTGGAAGAAATGGAGGAAGGAACAGTTCCTGTCACCGATAGATCCTGTCACCAGGAAAGTAGTTAGAAAAGTTTCTCATCCAACTTTGCCAGTGCATATAAATTCTGCTCTGCAGTGTAAAATGCAACCTTAATCTGAAAAGATCAACTATTCTCGAAGGATAAAAGATGAGACCACAATATTCATCTTTTTCCTCCAAGTACAACCTCAGGCCTTAGCAGTAGCTGTACTCTCACTCTAACCAACAAGCTTTAGATTTCCGTTTCTGTAAATCCACTGCATGAAAAGGCTGAAATAATGAATATTGTAAAGGATTTGTAGTGGGGAATTTAGCAAAGGAATTCCTTTATGCTATCAGTCAGTGTTAACTGAATAGGAATAGGATGCCTTACTTCCTCTAAAATTCCACACTAGCAATTTTCAGATTAAAACATACAGCCCCATATGTGCAACATCCGGAAACAAAAATCAGCCACTTAAGAAGGTCTATGAAACTATTTTAATCTGGATCATATTGAAAAGTAATGGGGTTAAATCTTGTTTACACTGAAACTAATCTCACAGTGAAACTGCATTGTTGAGTATGTAGCTCAGATGTGAGTAAATCAGTAAGTCTATGCTTTAAAGGAAGGAGAAGAACTGCTAGGACTTTTCTGCTGCTAAAAATCTTTGTTTCTGTTGTTCCTACACGGAGATTTTTACCCACTTCTGTTTCACACATTACTTCAGGTGCTTTTAAGAGGCACATAGACTTATTTTCTAAACACGGTCCACTAGATGGCAGAAAATACTTGCATCTCTCTTTCCTGTACTTCCAGACTACAATAGTGCTTTCATTATTTCAAGCAACCCAAATGCCAGCATTATACTACAAAGTAACACAATACTTAAAAACAAGAAAGGAGATCTTCCCTTTTAAATCTGTAAGTCCAAAAAGGGACTACTCAGATATGCAAAATGGCTCAAATGTAAAGGCTTGATCCGTTCTTTTAGAAATCAGTAGAAAGATTCCCACAGATCTCAACAAACTTTTCACTAATGCCTTAACACATTCAAGACTAGAATAGCAGGTTATGTATATTCTTATTTCTTTTTAAATACTTCTGAATAAGGGTAGTGTCTTCTTATAGAGGACAGTTGCATTATCTGCTTTGTCTGTCTTTTATTATGCATTTGAACAGTATACGCAAATATTTGGGGCTTCAAGGACATGGCCGCTATGTGTAGAACTAGCCAAATCATTTGTGATTATGAACTGCATTTGTTACTGGAAAACTAATGATAAAATTTGCATTCCACTAACAAAACAAAACACAAAAAAAGAGAAATTGTTTTCACAGGTTAGTTTGTAAGGCTAAAGCTTTTGAGACTATATGAATCTATATATTACTACATGAATCTTTGAAAACATACCTTTTTTTTCTGGAGGAAGAATATCCATTGGCAGTAAACGAAGAGCTGATGAGAATTCCAAATTCCTCAGAAGCACGGAATTGGCTTGTTCTTACAGTTGTTAAGAAATCTCTTCTTCTCCTACCATTCTCTTCACATAACAGTAGTCCCATTGTTTCTCTCCTACTAGAAGAGAATCTGAAGGCTGAGAAACAAGGTGATAGAGGTTGAGCTACTGAATTATTTCAAGTATTCACTGCTGAACAGGTAAAGGTTAGCTGATACAACGTGCAGCAAACAGCACCTTTTATTTGCTGTATAAATTTTGAAAGATTTTGAAACATATAAACATGCAAGGTAAATTCATATGGCTGTACTTGCTAAGAAAAAAGAGCTGTTCATGTAAGTTCAGGGAATATAACTGTAAGATAGTAAGAAAGTAATTTCTTTTTAATAACAATTACTAAAATCTCATTGTTTATGAAACAGGTGTAACGCATTGCAATGATGGCATTTTAAACCTACAGTAATTCCAACCTGTTCCACAGTAATAAATCCAGCTTTTAAAATTAAATGATAATGGCTGAAATGTTAGTTAACTATGGAGAAATCAGAGCAGTTGTGAACACCTGGTATTTGTCATTTTGCAGTAATTCCCTTGGTATCTTCTTTCAGCAACCGAAAATGAAGGATTTAGTTGCCAGAAAGGGAGAAAAAGGAGAAATAGAAGAAGGTATAGAGAATAAAAAAGGCCCATCCCAAGTGTTAATCCTTCAAAGGAGTCTAGACTATTCTGAACCCAGATAAATCATATGCTGTCTACGTTGATCAGAATAAACAGGAAAAATAAAACAATGACATTATGAGATTAAGGGGAAAAAAAGCAGAAAACAAAGAGCTCCTAATTTACTAAAGACAATCATTAAGAAAAATATATCCTAAAAACATTAACTGTATTCATTGTTTTCTTTTGGATCCCTGGGTTTGAATATCTGACCATTTTGTTAGGTCCTTTGTGGTATGCGTTGCCTGACTTTGTATGAACAAGAACTGGCCGTGGGGGAGGGAGAATCCTTCCACAAAACTGAGTGAGCTAAAAGTCACCTTATTTAATTACAGAGTCTCATAGGTGGGAGCCTTTTGAACTCACCAATTAGAGATGAAATATTGCCTTCTAATTTTGCCTACCCTAATACCATAATACATAAATAGCAACAGCCCCGGGGTTTAAAGGGATTGGATACAAACTCTGTTCAGAAATCTTTAAACGATGTTTACCATTCCCAGGAGAAAAAAAGAAGCCTCAAGCTAAGGTGGGAGATTCAGTTTTATGAAGGAGAAAACTTGATGCTGAAGAACAAAAACGTTTGATCAAGAAGATGTGTTAGAAACTCTGAACCCAATAAAAAATAGAATCAGAGATGATTAAGCTGGCTGACCAGAGTAGGTTGATACATACGCGATTTACGCACCCACATTGAGGATAATAATCCATGTACGTTATTCTGTGTGGCAGTGTGAGCTAAGGGAGGAGCGGAGTGTTAAGTAAAATATAATCTTATCACCACTTTATTATCCTGAGATATTTGTCTTGTATTCTAAACCTCTCCTTTGCTTGAAATACCTTTCTACCTGAAAGCCCCATAAAGCCACAAATGGTATATTTGCTCATCATTTTTTTGGCACCATGATCTACTATGCAGAGTGTTTGCTTTGAGTACAGGAGACTTGGCTTCTGTTCCAAATCTGTGCTCTCTGGTTTGGGCAGAACACTTCAACTCTCCAAGCTTTTACTCCTTTTCACACATGCTGACAATCCCTCGCTTGTTTTCTTTGCAAAAGAAAAGCTGCTTTTAGTACTCCCGTACTTGGCAAAGTGAGGTAGTTCCTTAGGCAATAGCTGCAGTCCTGCACAGTGCCAGATCTGGCATTTTGAAAAGAGCAAGGCAGTGGGAAAACATCTCAGTATGAACAGGCTCTAGCTTCTGCTTATTTTTATGCGATAAAGCTCCACCCAAGATGAAAGCCTGATACATACAAACAGGCACAGTCTCTGCGCAGATGATTTTATGTGGTACTGCAAAGGTGGGAGAAAGGAAGTATAGCATTTCTATTTTATAGATGGGAACTGAGGCACAGAGATACTACAACTCGCTCAAAGTTTATACAGGAAGTCTGTGGCAGAGCCAAGAGCAGAACTTAAGATCAGTCACAACCGCAAGTCTGGCCTTCCTCTGAGTGCTGCTGGCTTTGTTTTGCTGGTCATGTGAGCTGAACTGGCTCCTTCAGTGTTGCTTACAGTGCTCTCTAGCTCTATGTTCTCTGTGTGAGTCTATTTTTTGTCAGAAACCTACGAATCTAACGTTCTACAAGTGGTAAACAGTACTGACGTCTGTGCACATTCATTACATTTTAATGAATTTAATGAAAATTCAAGCATAACTCCGTATTGAAACTGTGGGGAATTCTGTCTAAAACTTCATTACACAATCTGGCCTTTCTATTTATAACCTGCCTTAAAACAGATTACGTGGCAGCTTTTCAAATTATCACAGAACTGTCATATCCATTTCTACTGGAAAAATGAAGAGATATCTTTGAGAATGGTCTCCGCAAAGTCTTTACAAGCCAGCAGGCAATGTTTTCTGTAATGCATGTAGATTAAAAGCCAACGATTGTGCTGAAATCCTTGGCTTCAGTCCAGAATTAATGAATGATAATAGAGAGGCCATAATAAATTGTCCTCTGAAGCTTTGGTTATTGTTTTGCTATGGGAAGAAAAGACTTAAAAATCCTTCTTGGTTTCTTTTGGCATACTTTAAACAGCACCTGCACCAGTTCATTCCTACACCCCTGCCAACACGGAGCCAGCAAGCCGTCCTCCCTGGGTAACAGATGAGTCATTTTCCCAGAAGTTTGCACCTGGAAAAACCACCACCACTGTCACGAAGAACATCCTTCCGAGGGGGGCTCCAGTACCACCTCCTGCCTCTAAATCTGCATACCCGTCTCCAGTTTCAGCTTCTCCCCTGGCTCCTGCAATAGCCCGAGGAACAATTCAGAGGGCTGAGCGTTTTCCAGCCAGCAACCGAACTCCTCTCTGTGGGCACTGTAACAGCATAATTCGGTAAGGTCATGAGGTTTTGAAAAGGGATGAGGCAGAAAAGACGATATAACAGGGAGACTGTTCTTTATACATTAATATACAGTACCAGAGCCTAAGCCTCAGTTAAATTACTCAGCAGGGTTGTCTGTTATCTGCTTCATTAATTTAACATTTCCAGAGCTCATTTTGCTATGGTGCAGTTCACTTTTTATCACTGTGAAGTTATGCATGCTAGTTGTTTGTTTCATGGAGGCTGTGGCAAATTACTGTTTTTTTAAACAAGTTTTTAAACAAGGTCCCTAAAGTACCCCTTGAAGGAGGTATATACACCACTGCATTGCGATGTTGGGGGCCAGTAAGAGGATGGTAGACTAGGAACAAGACATCATTTTGGAACAGCAGCCAGATGTAATTGTTGCTTTTGTGTCTGGAGAGATAATGCCCACACTCTATTATCAGTGATTCATAGCATGCCTCTCCCTTCTTTCCCAGTTCATTCTGCTGGATTGGCGCCCAGTGTAACTCTCTGGACTGCTAACCAACTTGAAGTAATCCACTTTAATGACAGTCTCATCCACTAAAAGGAGCTAGTTTGGTGAAGTGGAACTACTGCTCGTCACCCTTTATATTTTCTGAAACAGAAAGACTCCAGTAATAAAAGAATTGAATTCCGATCGCTACATGTAATTTCAATCAAGAGTAAATCACCAAAACAAATTTGTGTCTTCCATATAACCAACAGCAGCTTGTCATCCGATATACTAACGTTTCTAGAACGTGCAGCACGTAGCAGTCTCTCAAAAGAAAATACGGCAGGATATTGGGTGTATGTGGGTAGGTTTGGAAACTGGCCTGCTTTCTCGTGATTTTAAATAGTGGATTTATCTTCTGATTTACAAACCTTGGTCTTTTCCTACTGTCTTTCCAGCTGGTCACAAAGATCACTTACAGCTATGCAGATATGAAAACCATAGATGATTTTTCTGACAGCTATTTGTAAATACAATGTATGTGTCCAAACAATTAAATACTTTAAACAGTTGGCAAACTGTTTTAGTAATAATCTTAAAAAAGACACTTTCTGGTCAGGTTTCTGGATATTATTTTAATATGCACCTTCATAATTTGAATAGAATGCTTGTTATACATGGATGCGGCATCTAGCAAAATGGGTTTGTAATCAGGGTCACTCAGTATCTTTGCAGTAAAAAATATCTTTGTTCACAGGGGTCCCTTCCTAGTAGCCATGGGTCGCTCTTGGCACCCAGAAGAATTCAACTGTGCTTACTGCAAGACATCCTTGGCTGATATGTGCTTTGTGGAAGAGCAGAATAGCGTATACTGCGAGCGCTGTTATGAGCAGTTCTTTGCACCGACCTGCTCCAGATGCCACACTAAGATCATGGGGGTAAGAAAGAGAACCGTTATTTCAACTATATGTGGCCCACTGAAATTAGAAATAATTTAAACTGTAAGCAGTGCTTGTAGTTATTTTATTATTTTCTCCCTTTTTGATAATACTTCCTTAGCCTGCATATAATTTTGGAATGAGAAACACATTATTTTATAATAATCACTAGGTAACCAAAATCTTGGCTATTCCTGTACTTTATCCAACTAGATAGAATAAGTAATCCAATTATCATCTCTCAGGTGTAAAACACAGTACGCTTTCTGGATAGTTCACTGCTATCCAACACACAGGATGTTTATCTTATCTACCTTTTCCTTGTCTTTGTGCAATGGAGACTTGAACTGGAATGTTTTAATGCTTGACTTAATCTAAAGTTCCATGGAGAAGACTGATCTTAGATGGGCTAAATGCTCATACTGCACTTCACTGTTAGCAAGCAGCACAGCTGCTGAGAGGAATGCTGATGATTTCTTATTGTTAAAAACAAACAAACAAAACAGGGTAAATAAAATGATCTGAATTGAAGAGAGACAAAAATAGATGCTAACTTTTTAAAATAGATGCTTAGATACAAGCAAATATGTTCTACACATACCATATGGTAATGAGGCTTGAATACAGTAAGATACTTCTAGCAGTTTATTTATGCATGCAATTACATACTATATGTATATATGCTATATATATGCCATGATTCTCTTACCGAGGAAGAAAGAAATACCACATCAGTTTTGACTGCTTAGCTGACATCTTTTGACATCTGTCTGAATGTTGGCACTGACTGAGAAGATGCTTTACTCTGCTATTGCTGATTAGGGGTGGCGGCATCAGATGCTTATGGTGGAGCTCTGGCTCTGCAGCAGTAGGAGTAATTTTATAGCAGAGTACTGACTTACCTAATTAATGTTGGCACAGATCAGTCCATCATTATGGATTTTCATCAGGAAAATAGCAAAGATGCCAGCTGCCTCTATTTATATTAATAAGATTTCTCTATCTGTTCTTTGCTTCTTAGCTCAGTGAGGTTCATAAATGGATCCAAGCCTATTTATCAGTGATAACTGTTTTGCAAACAGTAGCAGAAGTTAATGAAACTCAGTGGTGATTTTCTATACGCAAAGCATAAACTTGACTATTTAGATTTAAAGCTTGGAAATAGATTTCAGTCTCTTTTATTTTAGTCAACAGAAATAAGTGTTTCAAATAATCAGAACCTATGTATTTAATCAGAAACAATGTAAAATAGAATCTAGATTCTCAGCTGCTTTAATCACTATTTCAGTGAAGTTAACAAAGCTAAATTACTCTAGTTAAGCATCTGGCCCTTTGACAGTTTGACAGGGATACACTGTCAAACATTGACAAACAAGACTGACAAATTAGTAGGTACTTAACTATACATTAGAGACACTGCGGCAGCTTTTGGACTTGCAGAACTTACGTATGACAAGATAAGAATGCATAGAGATTGCTCCATACTGGATGGAAGAAAGAACATGGTAGAATCTGGCTATTCCTATTTCCTGTGCCATCCATTTCTTGGCATTGGATAAGATTTTATGTGGCTATACACACAACTAAAGTACTGCTAAGGGTTAAGGTAGCCTGCCAAAGGAAGGTCAGTTCCTTGGTCTTGTCCTGTAAACACTTGTTCATGAACACAGGTGACTATGTAGGAGAGGAAGAAACAATTGAGAATGGTGGGAGTTTAAAGACAGCTCAGTTGGTGCCAGAAACTTAGGTGCTTTACAGTGCTTGTGATTATACAAAGCATGGATCACAAGCATGTTTAAAAAATGCCACCTGTGCACTTTCAAGCTTCTCTTCTGTAAAGAACATGTGCAGAATTTGCTTTTTTGTGATGAACACATGGCCTAGGAACAGATGCACAGACTCATTTTGACTAATCATGTAAGTCATAATCCAGTAACTTTTTTAAAATCACGTTTGTAAAGAGTTCTGGTGAGAAGCTAGAAGAAATGAGTACATCATCGAAGTTGCTTTGAAAAACATCAGACTTAAATCATTTATCCCCTTTGTGCATTTCTTGGTCTCAGAGGTGAAATTGCTCTTCAAACGTTAAATAACAAATCATACACTTGCGTTGAAGAGTTCATAATGTCAAAAAAAAGAGAAAAAAAAATCGAGATGTATGCGCAGAATCTCCTCTGCAACAGCAACTGGGCATGTTGATACAAACAGCTGGCTGAACTATGCTGTTTCATTTTGGCAAATATGTTGCTCTAGAAATTTTGCAGTACTTGTACTTCTGTCTTTCCAGTGGAGTTTAGTTTTTGTTATACTTCTCTCTTTTGAGGAAAGGAACTGCCTGAAACAAAAGTGAAAAGTTTTGAGCATCTCTGCCTTGTATTTTTTCTCCAGTAGGTAGTTGCAGTGCTTGCTATTCTGCTGGAGATTTTTGTTTCTTTATTTTACAGGAAGTGATGCATGCCCTAAGACAGACTTGGCACACGAGTTGCTTTGTTTGTGCTGCTTGTAAGAAGCCATTTGGGAATAGTCTCTTTCACATGGAAGATGGAGAACCTTACTGTGAGAAAGGTACAGCAAGCTGGATGGTTCTGCTTAGCATTCATGTGCTTCATGTTGTACGGAAGCAACATAAAATAAAGCAGTTGCTGGACAAAATAAAACCAGCTACCCAACCAAGAATGTATTTTGCCTCCACTGTCCACATCTAAAAATGCTTTGTTCTTGGAATTTTTTCTACTTAATGACAGGTTGGCAGAGAGCTGGTCTTTTTGCCCCTATGTACCAGATTGCCTGACTTCATTTATCTCCCTAACCTATTATAACAGTTGGCTCTAATTTCTCTCCCTTCCCATTTGCTCCTGTCCCCGTAACTTCCCTGGTATCTTCTGCTCACTAAAAATCTTCCTGTTACTGTGGTGAGAAACTCTTCTTCTGACAGTGCTTCTATACATTATGCGTGGATTGCTGCCCAAATTCTCTCTGAGTTGTTTGATGCTTCTACCCCAACCTAAAACGGATCAATATATGAAAAGATAGCTCTGCTCAGATGTGCAACACATGGTAGTGCAGATTTTGTTTTCTGAGTGCTGCTTCTTGCCAACTAGCAAGGAAAAAGTCAGGATTTCCAAAAATACAGAAGAGGTAAATGTAGTGGCCTGACAAGGTCAGGACGCAGGCAAAGGTTAAACTGCTATTCCCTCTGTAAGCCCGTCCTTGTCCTGTGAATGTGCTTCTGGCTTAGTTTTCTTTGGAAATGCCTTCCTTATGGTTGCAAAAATCAGATTTTCCTGTCATTGTAACTCTTAGAAAATCCTACAGCATGATTGATTTGATATCCCTTAAAATTGCAGTTTTCACCACAGCCTCTAATCACTTTCATTAATTCCATATATAGCTTGAAGTTCTGCTTGCCTCTTTCAAGTTATCTGCAAGTTGGACTTGATATTCCAAACAGAGATGTATTATGCAGCAGTTAAGGGGTTTCTATAATATTCTTTATTAATGCAGAAGAACCACAGTATTTCAACATTAAATAAAACTACTCATGGAAACTTAAACAAATGCTTCTAAACATAACTTTGAATGTGATGAATTTTTTAGCGCGTATTCTGTGCTTGTGATGACAACTTGTAGTACAGTACAGCCACAGGGCATTGCACTGAATTTGTATTTAAATAATGGGGGGAAAAAATGCAGCTCGAAAATTCTGTTATGGGAGTGTTTCAATGAATATAGTAAGAAAATCTGAGCAAAAGTAATCAAAAAAATTTATCCTCTGGAAACTTTCTATTTCTTTTGGGTGTAATGTGATTATGCTAAGAGTTTGTTCTAAGTTTGCTTTTTATTATTTTAGATTACATTGCTTTGTTCAGCACAAAATGCCATGGCTGTGATTTTCCTGTTGAAGCTGGAGATAAATTCATTGAAGCCCTTGGACATACTTGGCATGATACCTGCTTCATTTGTGCTGTAGGTTCTATACCAAATACTATCTCATTTCTTCATGCTTTTATCATAAATTGTTAAGTAACACCAGAAGACCTGGAAGCAGAAACAACTAACATATGTCTTAGGATGCAGAGGGATTGAATTTCATTTCTTAGTTACAGATGGAGAGGGATGAGAGTCATTTCTCCTCTGTAAACTTTTATTAGAATTAATAAATTTAACTAGCACAAGCGAATGCTCTTCAATAAATCATACAGTTCTAGAGAGTCTGTATGTACACTTATACCTAGCACTATTTGCTATTAATTTAATATTTACCAGATAAATTAGGATTTAAAATAAATCAATACAATTGAAGAGTATAGGCATAATCTTAGTTACAAAGCAGTGCAGTTTGCATGTCCATTCAGAATTCTTATTGAAATTTGCAAAAAGGAATCTGTTTAGAGAGAATGAATAGTAATTAATGTAGAAGTTGGTCACACTCATCAGTTGTAGTGTGGCCATATTCCTACACTGCACACAAAGTAGTTAAATGTGCATGATGAGCAGTACTTTTCTTACGGCTCCAATACAGCTGTGCTGCTCCCCAACCTCTTATTCATGAGGTAACAGAACCTCTAATTAGCTAAAAAAAATAATATGTTGGCCACACCACAAGTGACAATTTCTAAGATTTGTTGAACTTTAATATTCAGGTTGAATAGCAGAAAGTATAGAAATATTTATAAATATATTAGGCTAAACTGGTTACTGATCCTTTAAGTGCATCTGGAAGTGAGTACCACAAAGGTGTTTTTCTATGCAAACTGAAATATCTTTGAAATTTGAACACAGAAAGCAATACTAAGGCAGCCATTCTCCTTCACAAACCAACAGCTGTTTGTAACTTATAAAAGACACTTTCTCTGTATACTTCCTGTTCTTGTTTTTGCTTTTTCACCTAGCTGCATCCTTATGTATTTATTTTATTAGCAACTCAATTTTGTGCAGAGGTGACATCCTTTTTGTTAATGTATTTCTCTAAGCTGTTTTTGTAGAAGCTAATTTCACCTTTTAGCAGTGAGCTAAAAGTCAAATGCAAGATCTTTTCTGATGTGCTTATCCTCGTATCCATTCACATGGTTTTTCCTTCCCCATGTAGTGGCACATCACTGATGTTACCTCTCGCTGGTCTTAAGCCTGCCATAAGTAGGGACAACATTTACTAGATTCTAATGCACTGACTTCCTTAAGAGGTTTAGCTAACTCTGACCTCACATGTTGTTGTGCTGCCCAGTGTGGATATCAGCACAATTCCAGGAGAAATAAAGCTAATCTAAATCTAGGCTACCTTGCCCTCAGCTATGCATTTTCACACACTTTGCTATGTCAATGCTGGCACTTACGAAGCCAGGCAGTGAACTTAATTCGTTGAAGAATAATCCACAATTTCAATGATACCAGCTGTCTGATTGAGTCATTCCTTGATCACAAAAACTCCCAAGTAATGAGAGGAATGAATATCTGGTGGTGCCACGGCAGGAGGTACACTTGGGACCATGCCGATATAAAATCATGCATTGCGAGGATCAGAATCTGGGTCTTGAAGTCTGAGCCACCTGTGTGTGTTTGAGTGTGCCACTAACCAAACCAAGACCTAAACTAACTCTCTCTCTCTCCCCCTGTCTCTCTCTAATTCTAGGTATGCCATGTGAATTTGGAAGGTCAACCATTCTACTCCAAGAAGGATAAGCCACTGTGCAAGAAGCATGCCCATGCCATCAATGTTTAAAAAGAGCTGGAAATCAGTAATGCTGGGGAAACTGATGACTAAATGAGCAATTATAAAGTTGATAACCATGGCTAGCATTTGTCTTGGTAGAAGCTATAAAGTTGATATTTCTAAAATTTCATTTTAACTCGTTTCTTAGGAGCAGAACATGCTTTTGCATGGTTCATATAAAATGAACAATCAAAACCAAATTAAATCCTCCATTTAAAAACAGATTATTAGTGCAGCAGTTTGGAGAAATACTGATTAAAACCTGTGATTTGAAATGTAATACATAAATACAGTTTAAAATGAACTACCCACAGCAGTTTTACTGCTTAGACCACACACTAGTGTTTAAGAATAACAGGAAAAGTCCTGTTATTGTAATTGTAATAACTCATCTCTTGTAATAGCTCATTTTCTTTCATAAAAAGAATGAGTAAGTGCTATACGGACAATAATCAGTAGAACCAAAGGGCACAGCTTTCAAAGGGAAATAAATAGGTTAGGGTTTCCTCTATGAAAAGTGTGTGCTATTCCTTTATGTTGTGGTGCTACCTCATAGCATCAAGTATTTTAGATTCTTTCCAAATAAGAAGTTTGCCTTGAATCCATACATAGCTCTGAAGCCTAAGAGACAATGAGTAGCTTAGTTTGAGAATGAAGTGGAAATGGAATTAACTCCTTCCACACCCAATAAGATTGAGGAAAGGTTGGGTCAACCTTGCTAGTGCACTTAGCTTATATGTGAGCAATAGATACCTCACTTTCAAATCTTAATGGAAAAGGCTAACTGGCTTTGTCCAGCCTGCTCTTAAATTGAATGGAATCAGGCTGGCTGGAAAGGAACTGTGGCTACTGATTCAAAAACAGTTTGCCTTTCTTCTTGTGGGAAAAAAAAAAAACAAACCTGAACATTACTTTGGTTTATAATGTCCACTGATATAAAGTGGGAGGTAGGAACCCATTTCTGGATCTTTAACACTGATTAACAGCGAAGACACATTTCTATCTAGTACAGCTGGATAGTAGGAGATAGCTTGAAAAAGTTGCCAAATCTACCCCACATACATAGAAAAAAGGCACCTTTACTTCTCCTGTGGAATGTAATCAATCAATGTTTTATCAATGTAAATGAATGTTGATAAAAATTCATTGGGCAGCATAACACCACAGACAGATGCTTTTTATTGTTTTCCTCAGTTTAAATATAACACATTCTACATTGTAGCATTTGCCATTGTAAGACAGTAGCTTTGACACTTCATCTTAGTCCTATTTTTAAATATTTTATAAAAAACTTCAAAGTTGCTCAAACATTTATAAAACTGTTCGTTTTGTTTGGTTGGTTTGATTTTTTTTGAAAGCAATACTTGTAGTACTAGCAGTGATTTTGAATTCCTAATTTTAAATATCTATTTGTATTGGAGGCAGCAGTTCTGTTGAATAGAAAATGGAGTTATAATGGAAAGCCTAATCAATATTCAAGTTTTATTAATTTGCTTAAATGAAAATTATGATTGTGTATTGATAGCTTGCAGTACTGACAGTTTTTAATTCGTATTTCTGAGAGTGAGAATGAGTTCTGTGGGCCACATTCTGGTGCTATCTGCACACTACTGTACCTTGTGTTTTGAGTAGCCGGGAATGACTTGGCATTGTCTGTCTTTTCCCTCCTATAGGTAATGCCAATTCTAAGAACATAGGTGTGTCTTTTTAGTGATGAAAAGCTATCCAAAGCTGTGGGGAGAAATGCGGAGCGGAGGAAATAAAAGAAAAGGGGGGTTAATATGTGAGTTAAATTAGCTGCAGGCAGTCCACATCTTGGAAGAAAATAACAATCATAACTGCCTGTGGCAGTTCAGACATGTATGACCTGTGTTTATTCAGCAGGTATCTTAGTTCTCACTGATCTTAGCAGGGATCTGATCTGAGTGCTTACAGGGTCAGATTTTGAATGCATTCATTATTCTATAACACTACTTCATTATATGCAAAGCTTTTTTTTTTTTTTTTTTCCTATAGGAAACAAATTTTCTGTTTTCAGTCAGTGCTGGGCTGATGTAAACGTGGTTCCATTAACTACAAAGCCCAGGTATTTGGCTCATAATGTTGTCCAGAGGAATAAACTATAATCATGGAAGTTAAATACATTTTTACTCATATTTGATTCATTAAATACCTTTTTATAAGAGTGAGACAATTCTATACTTCCTTTTAATTTTTGAATGCATTGAAGATGCTCCTTGGGCAGACTTCTGTGTTACCCACTGACTGGGACTAGTCTCTTACTGTCAACATCAAACTCTCAAAACAGGGAGTCTGACTCCTTGGCACAACACAGACTGCTAGAGCATGTAATACCACAGTAGAATGTCATGATCTAATCTATGTATTTATGTGTGTCCCTCTCCACCTTCTCTGTCCCTAAGAGCTCCCTCTTTGCTGGTACTATGAAGAATACAGCATTTTAGGAGATGGTCAGAGATGATTGGCTGCAGCTAACCAGGGGTGTACAGTCTGTGCAGAGAATGTGGTAGGCAGCCAGGCTGGAGCTGCTTCTTTCTTCTCCATATTCACAAGGGACCCCAAGATTGCCAGATGAAGTTGCACAGGACTTCCCATCAGAAGCTCAGGTGGACAAGTATGGGATGTGGAAAGACTTCCATTAGGGGTCTCGGTGTGAGCAGGGGAAGAGAGGTTTGGATCAAAGAGGGCAGAGCACCTGCAGCTGCCAGAATATGGGGGGCTTGAGGGCCTCTGGTATTGTGTAGAAGGGTGAAGCACTGGGGAGGCAGGGGAAGCTGGGGCTGGAGGAGGGAGAGGAGCTAGGTAAGGCCAGTTGCACTAAGTTGATATATTAGATACTTTCGTTGAGGCAGAGGGGGGAAGCAGAGAATAGCCAGTATGACTTGCTGTGGTCAAGGAAAAGGCTTGGCGCAGGAAATTGGGGTACAAAGAGCTGACAATAGTCCCAATATATAGTATGAATGTATACAGAATGAGTAAGCAAGGAAGATCCAGGATCCTACCTAGTAGAAGTCAACACTGCAAAAGGGTGAATGCAACATATGTTAGGTATAGCTGAGCTAGCTTGTGCAGTGGCAACTGTGAAAATGCAGCAGCAGAGATTTCAGTGGGAGCTGTACTAACTTGAAGGGGTCCTGAAAATTTCCTTGGACAGGTAATCTGCACTGTAACACATGCCCTGACTCCAGCTGGTGTCTGAGCAAGTGAGATTAAAACTAGTTTACATATCAGTTTATGAGGTACAGTGATATCTCTGAGTGAAAAACAGAGATACCCTGAGGATTATCATGTAATAAATTTCCTGTTTTGACTTGTGCTGCTTCATAATATGGTCCAAAAATAGGGAATCCACTTACCTGCCCTTACATAATTTTTGCACATATCTGAACCAGAAATTTGTGAATAGTAATGTAGAATTTTAACTTTCACAGGGATAGAATCCCACATAACGCTGATACTCTTCTGCTATATGTCACCTTTGTGATATGGAGGAAAGGATGCATACTTATATAATTCAGAACAGGGCCCTTCAACTATCACTGAACATAAATGCTATACAAAAATAGTGTTTGCAGGATGAATAATGTGCACTTGTTTATGTTTTCTGTCTTGTAACAGATGCCTGGGATAAGTCATAAGTTCCTCTAAATATTTATATTAATTAACATGGGACTTTACGTGACAAAACAAAGATCCTGTACCTCTGAATGACCAAATAAGAATACCGGTATTTTGTCTAATACGGTGTTCAGCATCTTTTCAGTCAGTGGCTTCAAAAATGACCTTAATGCTTTTTCTCTTTTTCCGCTCTTTTTGCATAAGAGAGTAAAGATTACCAAAGAAGGCCTTGCTTTTATTATCTGAAAAGAAAACCACTCATCTGACTTATTTTTTCTAAGTTAATTTGTAATGTACTGGATTCACATATTGCAATTTTAAACAAGGGAAAATATTTTACTTTGGTCCTTCAGTGGTCAGTACTTTGGGTGAAATGTTTTCTTAAAGACATACTTATGTTTAATAATGTGAACAGCCAGCACTGAACACACTCATTAGTGTCTAGTGCTGGGAATGCTAATGTTTATTTGTAATACTTGTCTCCAGGTAGCAGATATTGTTTAGTATTTACAAACATCAGAATTTGAAACTGAGTGATTTCTTGTCTGCAGTGATCATAGAAGCCTAGGTTTTATAATATAATTACATGTTGACTTGATAACACAAGTGCCCTTGCTTTTAGATACATATTTTTCTGAAGTTCTTAGTTAGTTCAGGTCAGAATGCAGCATGGTTTATGAGGTGTGAGTAATTGTACTTTGCATGGATTACCTGTGCCAACATGGATAAAACAGTCTAGTAATAAAATGAATGTACAAATACATTTAAAGCTTTACAGTTTGGACATATTTGTTAATATGGCACATGAACAGCTGACAGCATACACAAGCTTGTATTCTCTACTTCAAACCTGAAAATAAAATTAGAAGCATTGGTTTCAACCTTACTGTGTATCAGTCTTATTAGCTAAATTGTGCTATTTTAAACATTCATATGCTTAAAAGATGTAGTGTACTAACAGTACATGTTGTAACTTAACAAGACTTGTATACTCGGAGACCTTATCGTGTCAACAAATGCTGTTTATAGCAAGTTTACAAGGAATGGGTAAATTCTGTCTTGGGTTACACAGATGAATCTGAGAACGAAGTTAGATTGCGTGAGTTCTGGTGGATGTTTTTCCACTTCTTAGCAGAAATGACTTTAAATAGTATACAAAGTGTTTTAAATGTTCTCATTGAACTCTAGTGCCAAGTAAGTCCTTCCAAATGAAAGGGTATCTCATACACAGCGTGACTTATTAAAACAGCCATTTTGTGCATTCCTAATCCACGCCCCTCAGGCATGCAGTATTTTTAAAGATACAACTAATTACATGAGACATAATTAAGAATTTAGATAATAAATGGACAAACTTGGCTTTAGATGGCATTACAAAGTACAGTACCAGGAATTGCAAATTTGTGAACTTTGGTTTTATTTTACAGCCCTAATTTGTTTACAGTGTGCATAAGGAAAAACAATTCAGAAGAATGAACAGAATGTACGCAGATTGCTGTTAATTTTGAATTGCTCTTTTTCCAGATTGCCTGTGCTGACCTTTAAACTTTGCACTAGACAGTTGTACCATGATCCCTGGAGAGCTGAGCGGTACTGAGGGGAAGCACTAGAGGTATAACACTCTGCCAGTTAATAGGGTGCAAAAAGTGAACAGAGCAAAGTTCATTAGGGAAACACATGGTGCAAAACAGCTTGACAAGTGTTGTGTTAAGAGGTTCTTAATAGAAGAGAGATTATTATTTGCTCAGAAGAAAATAGTGATTTCAAGACCTAGGCATTGCTTTTTTCCCTAATTGTGAATCTTAAATTCTGCCAGTTTCTGTTGATTAAAAAAGAAAGGAATGTGTGAATAAGATTGCTGAAGCCATTATTGAATACACAAAGAAATGCTTTGTTCTCTCAGCCAAATTGCGGAGTTACGCATGAGATTCAGATCATATTCAAGCACAGATTTTGTGCTGCATGCATATAAAAAGTCATTAAAAATACAGTTTCTTCTTAGGAAGATTTTATCAAAATAGTAACAAATGTGTGTTGTATTAACAAGCACTGTCGGGCTAATTTACAAGACTTTTTTGTGTAAAAAGAATAACCTAATTTATTTTTTTTCATCAAAAATAACCTTTTGAACAAAACTTGTTTCTTCCTTTAAAAGTTTACACATTTTAGCTGTGAGGAAATAATAAATATGCATAAAATTGAATGTATAAAATATTTTACAGCAGAAGATTAATTATTACTTCAGAATTAAGATTACTTTCCTTAATGACAAAGATGTTAAGGAAATTTTGCTTCTGCTTAGTTTTACCATGTGCAGCATTAATGAAACAGACCTCAGGTCTTGGTGAGTTTGTGATTTTTTTACAGTTGAATAAAGTCCTTTCAATATCTGTGTAATGAATACATGTCGCTACCAGAAAGCTAAGGACCTTGCTGTTCTTCTGGAATGTTTTATTCTTACAGTGAGTTATAGCAGACGCTCTGGATTTTTAGGAAGCTTAATATTTATATTCATAATCTCAGAGGCTCTCATCTGAGAAGAAATAATTATTTACAGGATTTATTAATTTTAAGATATAATAATACATAGACTGCAATGATAACGTTGGGACCAAGGTTTAGCTTGGTTTAAAGAAACGTTAACCATGATGAATGCATGTATGGAACACATGCATGGATTTGAACAGGAAACTACTCAGAATTGAGCTCTGATTCCCTTGAACTGGATGCATTTTATATCCGTGGTACTTCAGTCTAAATTCTTGGAGTCATAGTCCATTTACAATAGAATCACAGAATCATAGAATCGCTCAGGTTGGAAAAGATCTTTAAGATCATCAAGTCCAACCACAACCTAACCACTCTACCCTAACTCTAACAACTCCCCACTAAATGATGGCCCTGAGCACCACATCCACCTCCCTGTTAAGCCTATTCCAGTGCTTAACAACCCGTTCTGTAAAGAAGTTTTTCCTGATATCCAACCTAAACCTCCCCTGGCACAACTTGAGGCCATTAAGGTAGCGTTAATAAGCACTGAACTGAGTGTACTCAGAGGCTTCGTTTCTGTTATCAGGTATTTGTGATTTACAGGAGAGCTTCTCCATATTTGTCATAATATGGAAGATGTGGGAACACAAAAAAGGGTGTATTTTCAAACATTTAGCTTCATACAAAAAAAACCCCAACACTTCAGACAACAAAAACTTTGTTTCTGCATTATAAACAAAGACCAAGCATATTCTTTCCCAATCACTGTTCTGTACTACCAAATGCCACTGGTAGGCCTGCATCTTCCATAACCTATTTTCTTTGTGGATATTTCTCCCTGTGCTGATTTGGAAGACATCATAAATTTGCCTATGCTTTCTGCATGTGGGGAAGCTGAACTGAGTTGCTGTTACACATGCTTACAAGCTGTGTAATATTGTGGGGTAGTAAGCAAAATGTACTTTGAAGCTAGTGTGGGTGTACTCAGCCTATTGCATCCTGGAAATAACAGATTTGCTGAGATTTCTTGTGAATGCACGATATACACAGTACTTGTTGAAAGTTTCTGTTCTACTGGATATATGTTAAGTAAGGTCTTTGCTGCACTACACAAACTTCTGGGCTAAAAGTCCTTGCAAGAAGTGTGGTAACCGTTGTCAGAGAGGTTCAGGTTTTAGCTATCACATCAAACGTTGCATACATGAATCTAAACTCTTCTGGAATACTGGCAGAGCACAGTTAGCCTTTGAGACTGTATTCCCAGCACCAGCTGCTGCAGCAAGAAAAGCAGAACAGAGCTGTAATTTATACAGATTATGATTTTCTGCCATCTGTACTATGTACACCAGTTTTTGGAATGGCAGCTTTTGTGACTTCCCTTTCTTATGTCACTCCACTGTGACCCCACTAGCCTGAATTCAAATTTGCAGAACTTATTAGTGCTCATGTTGAAGGACTCTGCTTGTCACTTACTCCCCATGTCACTTACTCAGCTTTTTGTTACACATCTTATGGATTTGAAAGAGTTTTCTGTTGTAATTACACTTATGCACACAACACAGAGATTAAGGTTAGGAGGAACATCCAGAAAGATTAAATTCTTCACAGCGAATACAAAGCACATTTCCCACCTTTTCTAGACTTACCTGGCTGTTGGCTGATGGAGACTTGAGACGGACGGATTTCCTAAACAGTCTCAGAAGCTGTTGTCTGTTCAGAAGGTCCTTCAAAGGAAAGGGTCATTGTTATTCAAAAGTGGATATCAAAGTCTGGGGGCAGTATACGCACTCGCAGTCCAGATTTGCACTATTTAGTCCAACTTCAAACAGATTTTTGTTCCTACGCACTTTTTGACATAAAAATGCAAAAAAAAAAAAAAAAAAAAAAAAAAAGAAAAAAAAAAAACCCATAACAAAATGCTGGGATGTTACTAATCCTCCCAGACTCTGGCTAAGACTCCTCATCCCCCTCCAGCTTAGGGAACTGTACTGGTGCAAAAAGATAAAAATTACATTGCTGTGTGCCAGCGTCAGAGAATCTAGCCACAAATACCTGAGGTAAGAAGCTTTTACTCAGCCTATAAGTGAAGTCTTCTGCTTTCCTCTGATCTAATGTCATTTAAAAAAAAAAAAAAAAAAAAAAAAAAAAAAATCCTTAAGCCAAATATTTATTTTAGACTTTGCATTATTAAGTTCAACTACTTAGAAGTGAGCAACTGTTATCAAAGACGGCATGTGAAAACAGTAAAATGAGATATAAATGTAGGAGTGTGAAAATGCGGAGAGAAAGTTCCATTAGCATTAGATTAACCACAAAATTTACCCTTCCTTTATTCATCACAGGAAAAGTCATTGTAACTTTATTAATGGTGAAAGGTTCAGTCATAGTTCTTCCTAAGGAAATAGGAGCAGTGTATCAGGATATCCTTCTTCCGCCCCGGAGTACCAATACTTTCAATTTTATATACAACGGAAGTAATTAATTGTAACACAAAGAAGCACAGCTGTGTTTCCTGATGGTCACACATGCAATAGCTGCTATTGTTCAGCATTTTGAATATGTGCACTGAGAACCGTTCAACTGCTTTGAATACTTTATACTTTGGGTAGCAGCTTTTGCATTTATAATAGCATTTTAATATGCTACTATCTTAGAGCTGATCCTGCATCCCTAATCAGGTAATTTTTGCTGATGTCAGTGGGAGTTGAAACTGAATTAGGTATAGCTGCCAAATCCAGAGATTTGCAGGCGAAGGCCATTTCTCTTTGGAAGCAGGGGAACTTATAGATTATTATAGATTAGATTATATAATATCAGGATTTGCTTCAGCTGCATGTGTTTTTTGAGCTTATTCAAGTTCCAGTACATATGCAAGTAACTTTAAGACAGAGGGAGAAAAGATTTCTTACTATGCCCTTCATTACACGTTTTCAAACATGTGGGTTAACTGCTGTGACTGAAATATGAGCATATCCTTTTTCTTTTCGATTCAGTAGACCTATGTTATATTGTTTGCGCTAGAGAATGAAAAAAGAGGTGAATGCTTTGCTGCATTTCTTATCTAACAGCAGTGCATTCATGGTTAAAGATATGATTACGCTGAGGAACAAAAATAGGATTTGATTAATTAAAATTATTCGGTTCATTTGTTTTGTATGAGATTCAGATCTATTTTGTTCTAACAACCTTGGAAGAACACTGCATCTTCCGTCTTGTAAATGTCCCTCTTTATAAATCTTGACAGTGCCCACCAGAGCTGCCAGCAACAAAGCTGCCTGAATCCACTTCTCTTGAGGATAAGGCTATTACACATATCGACGGATTTTTTTTCCTCTGTTTTATGAAGAGTTCTCTTTGTTTAACAGCAGACTGGAAAACATTTCCTATTTCAGCATTCAGTTTCTGTTGCTGAAAAGGACAGTCAGTTGTCAAGAAGAGAATTATTTGTTAAAAAGGTTGGAAGCGATGAAGCCTCCACATCAAGAGGAAGAAAAGTTAAGACAGTGTGGTTTGGGATCTAAGGACTACCCAAGCTTGTAAAAGGAATTAATAAATCTCACTTGTAATAAAAAGTGGAGGAACAGAAAAATATGTTAGTGTATTACAAATCTTCTAAGAGTGAAGCGGATAATTAAAACTTCCTTATAGATCATTGGGCAGAGCAGAATTAATTCATAGTTAATTCAAACTATCAATTTTAAAACAGCAGTAGAGTCTAACCCTAAATACTTAATCTTGTTAGAGCAAATGAAGACTTCATAGATTTTATTTGCATGCATCTAGGGAAATCATATTACTAAGTCTCCAGCAAACTGATGTGAACAAAGTGCCCAGGTGAAGCTCCTGCTGAGCCTACAAGTACTCTTTTTCTGTAAGACTTTTTATGTTCTTGCTACCCTACGTTGGCTTTAATATACATACATATATATTTGAAATATTTCTTGTATTTATAAGGAAAATTCTCTCAGAGTTTATTATGGTCTGGTGAAAACAGTGCTTTTTGTACATAGGAGTCTATTAGAAATAAGACTGTAAAAAGCTCAACAAGGCATAGAAAGAAAAAACAAACAAATGACAAAGAAAGAGCAAGCAGAAAACGCAATAGGAAATTTGATTCTTGATGGGCAAAATGTTTCCTAAAGCTCTTGTGAAGTCAGGCATAGTTCCGCCATTCCTACAGCCCTTGGCAAGACACAGTTGTGGTCCCCACTACATGTCTTATTTAGGAATCTGTTCAGCTCCTGCAGCAGCTGCCTGAGTCATATCACAGGTATAGATAGCCTTTGTATCCTCCTTCCTCTCTGTTCACTAGCACGAGGCTAAAGAAGCTGGACTGCAGAAATAATACCAGAATACAACAAGTGCTGCAGCTGCAGAAATGGTTTCCTGTTTCCTTCTGCCTGTGTTCTGCACATTGAGCTGCTGTTCTCTGGAGTCTCTCCATGGTGCTCTGCAGTCCTGCACTGCACTCAGTTCCACATCATGCTTTTTGAGCTGAAGGTTGGCTGAGGCTTGCAACACTGAAAAAATGAAAAATACCTTTGCCTTTTTACTATCAGTACTTCATTTGTAGATCTTTAAAAAAGAAAAGGAAAAAAAAAAACGGAAAAAAAAAACCTTCCCTCACAGATTTGATTCTACCCTAATTGAATTAACTAAGATTATGTTTAAAACACTTAATAAGATCGGTATCATTTCTAACTAACAGACAGTTCCAATGAATTTATAATCAAAAGAATGTGTTTTCAAGTACAGTAATTCTGAAGAAAAAAGACAAGAATTAATGTAAATAAAATGAAAGGAATGCGTCCCCAACTAAAGGGTAACATTTGTTTAACACGTAGTGTGAAATATTCACTTTGGTAACAGTAACAGTGAAGAGCTCATTGGCTTTCAAAAACATATTTGGATCACAGATTTTATATGTATGGATTTTTTCAGAGACTGAAGGGAAGAGGAATCACACAAAGATTAAGTCCTATCAGATGGATGACCTTCTACCTATGCATACCTCTCCTAAACATAAGTTTAAGATTCGCAGTTCCCCAGTGATTCCAAGAACTAGAAAGAAATTCCTGGACGGGAAATGACAAAAGAAAGCAGCTGCAAGACTACCCGATTCATGATTTAATATATTTTTTAATACAGCTCTCTTCATCACGACAGTCTTGAACTGCTCTTTCTGTATTTTATGCTAGGCTTCTACACCCCATCCTGGTCAAGTGGAGAATTAACGTATGTTTATTTTCAAATTCAGACTACAGTGTCTCTGAGTGTTGCTGTATTACCAGGATAAATACCTCATGTTACTAAAACCTGACATGTCCAAGCTTTTGCAGATTGCTAAATCCTGACCAGGTGAGATGTCTGTTACTGATAACTAGCTCACGGGAACACTGCCTCTTTCTGAGTGCCTATCACCTGAAGTGTTCATCTTTGATTTAAACAGGTATCTCTGCCTTTCCTGCAAGGTAAACAAGGCAAGTCAAAACAAAACAAAACGGGTTCGATTCTTTCTGAGGTTAGGCTTCCACAGTTACTTTCATTAAGGGAAATACAACTGGGTTCTTAAGGCAGCACATCAAGAAAATGCTTCCATCATACCGCATTATCTCACACGTTAGCATTGGTCAACAAACTGCTTCTCACATGCAGACTGCTATATGAATGTAAACAAGGAGTTTTAGTCTAATCATATAGTTTTCATACTTTTGTTGTTAACCCGTGTCTCAAAAAAAGTTTATACCTTATGAAATTGAAACCATACGGTGCATACTGTATGTTTAGAAAAATAAACATAAATACAGTATTTCCATGTGATGTTTCATCAGACAACCAGAACAATACTGTGATGCAAATACCTTTCGAGGTTGTTATGATTCATCATTTTAGATCAAGATTAAGCTGTCTTTTGCAGGTCTGATATTACTAAATTTTTTAAAATTTATTTTATTTTTATTTTATTATTTAAACTGAAATTACTAAAGTTTATTTTTACTGAATTTATTTTGTGATTAAGACTAGTATTTACACAGCCTGATGCTCCTTATTTATGCCATGAATAGGCACATTGGCAGGGTAGAGCAAACCAAATCCTCAGCAACACAATTTCTGATGTGACAGGACTATTGCCTGAGATATATTCAGTGCCCAACTCCTTAAAAAAATACCAGCTAAGAGAGCAGTTTCCGTGATTACTTACAAGAAATTCAATGAAAACAGTTGATCTATTTCATAAGTGAGCTCAAAAACAAATCAAGGCTAATAGCTTTTGCTGAATTCAGGCACGATGGATTTAAATCACTATCCAACATCTGAAAAATGCAGGACTGTATTACCACACAGATCATTACCAAGAGAGATGCTAGCTCTAACAGCTTTGGTTCTGCTTGGGAGCACACACATGCATGTTGCATTCTTCTTCCATATTGAGTGTCTATTCTGCTGCTACAATCTGATAGTAGACAGAGCGGAGGAACAGCAGACTCATATTTTCCTTTGAAATTATAAACATAAGCATACAAGTTCTGTATTGCTTGGCATGAGCACTGTGATTTTGTCTTTCTTGGCTGTCTTTGTCTTGGACACTGACATTTTTTTCTGGCTCATCGGAAAAAAATTTTCTACAAGTCTAGTAATGCAAGTCCTACATTTCTTAATGCCTTTCTCTGTAGTATCTGGCCACCTACACTTAGTAGGTGTGCCTTTAATTGCCTGCGTTTTTTGCAAAGCAGATAGGTTTGAATGTACTTCCTCTTTTGTTTCACTATATGGGATAGAATGCAAGCTAAGCAGTTGCCTAACAATGCACGTGTACAACACATGTGAACTACATTACTTAGCCAATGTGCTCATCTTACACACAAATGGGACAACATAAACTCTATATGACACTAGCAGACAAAAATGGAGCTGGACTGTGGAGAGGTCAGCACAACGAGCAAAGCAGGGTTTCTCACATCATACATGCATGTGGTTAAGTGAGATTGCTTCCCAATTGGTTACTCTCTAAAAACAGCTTATCTGGGCATGCAGATGGCCTAAGGGGTGTCTTGGTCAATAGCAAAGGGAAAGCGAGCAGGTTTGTGTGGTCATGATTGGCCCTGTGTACAGAGCTCTTGGTGCAGAGCTGTGTAATGGGACCACATCAACATTAGAGTTGCTGCCACTCTGCTGAGTGAAAGGTCCAGCTGCTCATCCCATGGCACAGTGCTACTAAAGCTCCTTCTGCACTGCTGTTGGGGAGACAGACAGACAAATTGTTACTTTGGTAATGTGTCCTAATGACGAGGAGCTTGGAAATGCAATGCAAATCATGGCCTTTAGCAATCTTATCAGTGAGAAGCTCGTTGCAGAAGTTATGATGTATTCCAATCTAACTAGCCAGCTTTGTTTATTTAAAAAGGAAATGGAAAAAAGCAAACGAACAATTCTGTTCGTTGCAACTCTCATCACTCATAAGGCACTGGGATGTCAAGCTTTTCAGAACTATTCTTCCACAGAGCTCAAGGACCGGTGTGAGGCCCTCACTTTTCCACAGGCAGCTTCCACCGTCACCCCTCACCTCACCTCCACAGCGCTCCCGGCCGCGCTGCCCCTTGCAGCTCCGCCGCGCCCTCGCGCCTCTCTGGCGCCTCCTACTGGAGCTGCGGCGCCTATTTCACTGGGAAAGCTCTTCTCGACGGCCCTTTCGCGGAGCCTCAGGTGGCGGCTTGCCGCGGCCCGTACTACCGCCCGTGACGGGAGCAACGGGGGAGGAGAAGCGGCCAACTTTTTCCCGCGGCACCCCGCCAGCGCGTCCACGGAATGGCGGTAGAAGCGGGAGGGCTCTGAGGGGCGGCCTCGCGCCTCTCAACGGCGGCCGTCGGCGCCGCCTCCGCCGAGCGCGCGTCCCCGCTCTCCCCCTCCCTTCGCCGTGCGCGCGGCCGGGCTCGGCGGGCGCCGCGATTGGAATCCGGCTCCGGCCCGCCCCGCCCGCTCCGCAGGGACGCGCCGGGCGTCGGGAGCGCCTGCCGGGGAGCGAGCCTGCGCCGAGCCGCCCCGCCCCGCCCTCCTCCTCCCGGCACTCGGCCGCCTTCGCTCCCGTCTCCCAGGAGCCGTCGGGGTCCCGGGCGCGGCCCGCGTAACGCGGCGGGAGCGGCTCCCTCCTGCTTCGTCTTCTCTCCCGCCGCAGAGGATGAGGAGCCCCCGCGAGCGGTGAGTGCGGGGTCGGGCCGGCCGGGCGGCGAGGAGCGCCGCGCTCCCGCGTTCTACCTTCTCTCAGCCCGCGGGGCTCCGAGCGCCGGGCCCTCGTCCCGCTCTCCTCGTCGGACGCCGGCTCGGGCCGCCTGCCCGAGGCTCTCCGACCCGGCCGCTCGGCCCGCGGGTCGGGCCGATGCTCGGAGACCCGTCTGCGGGCGAAGCGCGGGGGCTCTCGGGGCCGCCGGCTTCCTGCGTGGGCACGGGGCCGCCTGCGGGGCCGGGCAGGCCCGGCGCACGCCGCTCTGTCTGGCCGCCTTCTCCCTCCCCCTGCGTCTGCGCCCGCGGTGTTGTAATTCCAGGCGCGGTGCCGAGCCGGCGGCGGAGCGGGGCCTGCGAGCGGCTCCGGGAGGCCGCGGGGGGCGGCACGGCACCGCACGGCACCGCACGCCTGCGGAGCGGGGACTCGCCGCTGCTGGGCGGGAGCGTCCGCTGTCCGGTTCCGGTTACACGCGGTGTTCTCGTACCTGGTGACAAGATGTCCCGAAGAGGTTGAAAAACTTGACTGGCTTTTCGTCGGCCTTTAATCTTCTGTACGACTAAGACTGAATTCGGTATCGAGGTGCGGCGGGAGGCTGTAGCACGTCCGTGAAGCGGTCGTCTGGCCTGTTGTGGTGAAGGCTGTGCGATGGGAAGCCTTCCAGGTGCGGGCTGGTTGTGTTTGGGACCCGTGTTGTGCGTTCCATGAGGACGGGTAACAATTTGGTGGATTCCATTTGCAGTCAGCTCCTTGGTGCCTGCCCTCTGTGGGAGTGGAGCAGCTCCTTCTGTGATGGCCTGGGCTGGAACTGTTCCCTGATTCGCTGTAGCACCTCATCCTGGAATGAGGAGCTGCACGAGACCGGTTGATATTCAAATTCGTTATTTCAGCCCATAGTTAGTAAGACGCTCGAGTTGTGGCGTTCTGTAGCAGCCTGAAAAAAATACTACTTTTGACGATGTGTGTCCTGTGTGTCTTTACTTTTGTTACTTTCTTATATGTCTTTCAACACATGTGCTTTGTTGTGTTACGGTCTGTGTGGTTTATATTTCTGTATGGACACATGCGTGCCCTGCAGGCCCTGAGTGCAGAGATCTGTCAGAGATCTTAATGCATAGCTGTGATCTTCAGCTGCCTGTTCTCTACTTATCCCCTTGGTCACTCTGTTTGTGGACAGTGAATTCGTGAGGGCTGATTGGAATTCTTCTCTTCAAAACGAAAAAGATATTATGGTTTGGAAGGCACCTCTGCATGTCACTGGGCCCAGCCCCTACCCAAAGCAGGGAGGTTAACTATTGGTAAATGGCAAGAAGTAACACAGAACTTGGAATCCACCAGAATCCACCAGTCAAAGAGCGTTCCCTAGTCAAAACGTGGGCTCCAGATTCTGGTGTTCTTGATGCTGGCACTGATGATGGTCACAATGAGAATTGTAAACTTTGTAAGGAGAAACAAAAATACTCAATACAATTGAATAAGTGGTGTATGTGCTTTTTCTGGGTGCCAAAATTTGGGAACTGGGGTTCTAAAGCATAATTAACATAAGTAGTCATTAACCTATACATAGCAGTTGGCTTACTTTTTGAGCTACTCCAAGTTAGGGTTAACAAGGTTTGGGTCTCATCTAGGTTTGAATGGGGTGCTTTTCAGATGTGCAGTAACCAGTCTGCTAGCTTCCTTTAGAAAAGACATGTGTTTCCCATAGATGAGTGTTACTGTGATATGAGTTGTCACAAAGCACTGGACTGCAAGGAGAAAAGCATTTTGAAGAAACAATAAATAGCTTTGTCTACTTCCTGGAGTCCTGAAAAGCAAGCGGTAGGTGGGTGGCTTAGGCTTTTATTTATTTTTTCCCTTGGTTTAAAGGTAGGAATTTGTACTTGTTCTCTGTGAAGCAACTGGGACATAATGTGACTATGCAGTGATAATTAAAAAATAATTTAAAAGAAAACGAAAAAGCTAGGTGGATTCATATTCACTAAGTTTTATAGTGAGAAACCAGAATAGGCTACATTCACAGCTTAAAAGAAAAGAAATTGTTTTGAAAATAGCGGTGTTAAACAACACTGAATTAATGGAATCTTTCTTACGTTGCTCATCAGTCAGTGTAACTAAGAACTCCTACAACTTCACAGAGAAGAACGAGGCCCACATATGTAACAGATGTGTCATGAATGTTTCAATAAGTCCCCTTTATTAAAGTGATCAAAGAAGAGATAGTGGTGCTTGCAGTAATTTTGATTTGGCCAAGCTTTCAAAAGCATCAAACTCACCTTCGCCCAAGTCCTTAAAAGCAAGAAACCAACAGAAAAAGGCCAATCACTCTGTTTCTCTTTTGTTTGTCATTGTGGATGGCAACTTCTGTCATGAGGACAGTATCTTCTTCCAGTAAATGTCTGACACATAGAGCTTCTGTAGCTTTGGTAAGTGGCTGGAAGGCATGGATGGGCAAACAGACAAGATGGCATATGTAAGGGCACGTACTGCAGATGTATTTCTCCCTTGCTTTTGTCAAGCATCAGACCTTTCTCTGTGAGGTTTTTGGTTCCTCGTTTGAAGGGGGAGGAGGGAACAGAGCATGTCTTCAGTGCATGGGTTTTGCTTCACATACCTGAATATTTTCCGTAAATAAATCATGTAAGTATTGCAGTAATGTTAAGATATGTCACTTCAGAGCTCTTGTATGTAGGCACTGATGGAGTGCTTAGAGCCTTATTTCACACGTTAATTTTCCCCAAATGTATGTGGGGGTGGGGGGCAGTGTATGTGCTTCATTTTGACAGCAGGCTTGCTTGTAGCAGCTGATGATTTAGTGCCTTTTCTTCCTTGAACAAGAGCTGCAAAAATCTTCTGCAGTTGCTCCACCAAACCCTTGCTGATTATTCCTAGTCATGGTGATGTCATGGAGTTTCTGTGCTTTCTAAAACATTTAGTACTTTAAAGGGAAAGCAAGGAATTTCTGTCTCTCATTCTCGTTGTCACTTAAAAATCACAGTCAAGTATGTAGATCAGTTGATTTTTCTCAGGAATAGCCATTTTATTTACCTCCCCAAAGAAGTTTAAAACAACAACAACAAAACCATGCAAAATTTAACCCACTGTATTGAATTCTTTAAAAATAATCTGTGAACTGTAATGCATGCTCCTTGAAATAGGACAGAAAGTTGAAGTAGTCAGCTAATTTATCTTTGTTGTAAAGAAGACATAGCTTTTGCTTTCTTAATATTCTTGTTACTTAGAATAGCTATTTTGTGAGGGATTCAGTCCACAAACATAAACTCCGTACTTCGTGCTCTAGGCGTGTGTTTTGTGCCTCCCTCGGCAAAACAAAGCAATTTTTCTCCTAGTCTTTAATATCAAGAATTTCATTCTCCTCTAGGGAGGGTGAATGTTAGATTCCTTTTGTTCTCCTGTGAGGCTGTGTCCTGACTGAGAGAGTAAGCTGCAGCCTCTGGCTGGTCTGACCACTGTATGAGATGGGGCGCTCACAACACCATGCAGGAATCACAGAAATGAGAGAATGTTGTAGTTTCCTGTAGTCAGCTTACAACTGAAACATTTTACATCAGTGTTTTTGATAATATAGTGGGGCTTGAGATCTTCATTTGTGTTACAGCAGAGATGAGACGTGTGAGTTTCTGGTTATGAAGCTGTTGACGCTGTACACAGATGCTGTGGGCATCTCTTTGAGGTCTATAGTGTAGTAGAGCTAGTCTTTGCCATTTTCCTAGTGGATGCCTTATAGTCATCCTTCTCTTTTGAGTTCTGTGCATTTCACTCAGCTGTACTATTTCAGGAAGAATTGGTAAGTAAAAAATCAAAATAGTTATTAAAGCAGACAACTGAATTCTAGTTCATGACTGTAAAAATGCACGGGTTGTATATGCAGAAAGAGAAGCAGTGGTGAAGACTTAAAATCCGGTGTGTTATTTCTATAGAATTTATTGAGGACACGTATTGTTTTAGTGGAATTGATTAACTTGATGGAGTGCTTCCTTTAAGCTCATTGGTGGGATAGTTTGCCTGTACTGCATTCAGAGGTGTTTGTGTTCCTTCGGATTGAGGTGTGTAACTCATTGGAAGTACTTCAAAAGTTTTCAACATGATAAAATCTGTGAAGTAACAGTTAAGAGAGTATGATCCCCGTGGCCCTTCAAAACAGAGAGAAATATAGTAGTTTAAAATGTGATTATTTTTTTTTAGTACATGATAGACGGGCTGTGCAATAGCAGAAGAAATTGCCACTTCAGCTCAGTGGTGCTGTAGTTTAATTTCTATCACATGTTATAAGAGCAACTATGTGTTTTACAAAAAATTTGATACTAGTTCAGTTTTCTCCATGTTTCTTCATACGACTGCTTTGCGAGGTGGCTTCAGTCAACTTCCTCAGCTTAAGATGTGGAAGCACCTAGCAATTTTTTGTCTGGATTCCCTCAGTGCATCATTCTGCAGAGGGAAAAACGTATCAGCATTGTTGTGTTGTGGCTTGTAAAGAATACAAGCAGATGTAGCAGGGGTAAGACAGATATCAAAGAAAGTCTCTGAAGTCATGTACCAGAATTCAGACCTGCTTTGTGGAAGCTCCTTCCTTTTCACTTTTGCAGCTGCTGAAATCCTAAGCTTGCTATTCTTGCAGACTCTTGTCTTAACAGTGTTAATTATTAACGACTTTTTCTCCAGTTGAGGGGGGGAAAAACCATTCATGTGCATTTATACTTCCTTTGTAAGAGCCTGATGCCAGACTATACTGGAAATCAGTGGGTAGAGTCCCAGTTCTGAATCCCAAAGTCGTGCAAGACTTTGCTGCTACAGGAAATTAACATTCTGCTCACAAAAGATTTGATGCACATCTTAGTGCATTGCATGTTAAAAGAGAATTCCATGCATACAGAAGCAGTGAAAAGATTGATAGAGGATGTAGCCTGGCTTGTATGTTCAGATATCATTTTCTGATGACCAAAAATCATAAAACCATGACATAGTCCATTTGATTTTTCCCTATTTGTTCAGTTGAAAGTTCAGTCTATAGTGCTGATGCAGAAGCACAGACACCATGTCCCATAGTGTTGTGCAGAAGTATAAAGGTGCTCTGAAAACAGTGTGAACAAGTAACGTGGGTGGAATGTTTTAGCAGGAAAAGTATTGACTGGAACTTGTAGTCCCCACTCTTGCAAATGGAAGAGAGAACAGTGGGAACGAGTGGCTTGTAGTTGCTAAAGTGTCTGGAAGCACAAAGAAAAACAGAAGGATGTGCACAGTGTGTTCCGTGTGCCCTCTTGCTGCATATCTTCTTCCTTGAAAGAGAAATGCAGCTCTTCCAGATTTCCTTGGAGTATGTTTCAGAGATTCTTTGTCCCTTTTTCTGCCTTGGCCTAAGAAGAAGCTGTTCAGAACCAGCTGCTGACCTGGAAAGCTGACAGTTAATGACAAGACAGGATAGGGATGCTGCACAGGAAGGCTCTGCTGCTAATGAGGTACAGACTCAGCACCCAAGACATGGACTATGCTCAATTCAGATCAGTGAATGAATTTTAGTTTGATAGTGATACTGATCTTTAAGTAACGTCCCTGAAGGAAGGAATTAAAAACAAACAAAAACTTTCAAGGCAATTTGAATAAAGCTGATTCCTGATGTGTCTTCTCTGAGAGGAAACAAGTTAACCTTGCAGAATTAAAAGAATTCTTTTTTGTTTTTACATGTTGACATTTCTCTCATTTTGTTTTCTACATTTCCTTGATTGCAACAGTTTAGTCTATTT